CATTTTTAAATACACATATTTCATTTTAAAAATTCCGGGGCCGTTACAGGATTGCTTTCGGTACTAAGCTAATAAGGTCAAGTTGTTGGAAGGGTTACATAAAAAGGTCGATGTCAACCTGTCTGTCACGCAGCATGCTCTAGTTTGTTCGGATTGTTAACTGGACTGTCTCACGAGATCAAATTTTTTTTATTTTTATAATTTAGCTCTCTTATTTTTATTTTTTTTTTTAAATATTCATCAGATTTAAAATTTCATCACTTTTTTTTAAAATTATTTTTAATTTCGTCCTTAATTTATTTATTTTTTTAAAAAAATTCAATTAAAATAAACAAAATTCTTTATTAATATATTTTTTAAAATAAAAAAATTCATCTTGTGCTGATTTTCGGAACTGAATATTATAAGGGTAACCTAGTTACTCTAATTTTAGGGTATCATTAGAATTGCCCATGATGAGCCAAGGTGATGGGTGAACTAGAGAGAGTTATTTGATATTATGTTAAAATTTAATTTTTTTACTATAATACGGAGGTTTGCACATTTTGTGTATAACTAAGATATGTTACAGTTAGAATATTCAATAAACTCTAAATTCTATAATAGAAAGATTTAATTTAATTTTGATTGATGATCAAAAAATAATATATGAATATTATAATTTATTATATAAAAGAGTTAAATTGAACTTTTAAAAATTTAGTTTCAAATAAAACAAGAGAAGAGGAATAGAGATATTTATAAGTACATATAATAATTCGATCTAAGTTCCGACAATTGATCCCTAAGAATTCAAAATTCAATTAATTTAGTACATGAATTATATATTAGAATCAAATTTGATATTGCCAAGAAATTTCTAGCTTTTGTAAATTATTTTCTTCATGATATAACTAAATAATATATCCACCTTTAAAAAAAAATTTAAAATATCTTTTTAAACAAATTATTATTATTTTTTTGTTTAAAAGAAAAAATCAAGAAGGGATGAGATGAGAAAATCATGAAGCGGGACCCACTGACTATATATGACGTGTCCACAAACTCCCAAACGACACCGCTTTTATCCGCCACCTCATCTCCTCCACGTTGACGTGGTCCCCAGACGGCTCTCCACGTTCTTCTTCATTTCTGTTTAAATCTTTTCATGCCGCTGCAAAAAATTTCAACGCAGAATAAATGAACGGTTAGTTTGTCGGCGATTATGGCTTCAACCGACGAATCGCCCGGTCGGACTCCGGCAAGCCATGGGGGAACAGGGCCATGTCAGACGGCCGGAAAACCCATGACGATGGGACAGAAAATAATCGAGAAAGGATCGGAGGTGATGCAGAGCTTCAAGCCAATAAAGCACATGAGCCAGCATGTTTGTACTTTCGCTCTGTACAGTCATGACTTGGGTCGGCAGCTGGAGACTCATCACTATATCTCCCGTCTCACTGAGGACTTCCTCCAGGCCGCCGTCTACGATTCTGATCAACCTAATGCTCGTCTCCTTGGTACACACACACACACGCATATATATATATATATTATATTTATACATGTATGCACTATTCTGATCTTACATGTAACACGCAGGAGTTGAATACATATTGTCGGATAGGTTATATGAAGGGTTACCAGCGGAGGAGCAAAAGCTTTGGCACTCCCATGCTTACGAGGTTCTATATACGTACATCCACATATATATATATGTGTGTGTGTGTGTGTGTAGATCCATTCTCATCAGTTATATATTTTGAATCGAGTAAATGGGTGTACAGGTGAAAACAGGACTGTGGATTCATCCAGAGCTTCCAGAAATGGTGGCCAGACCAGAGCTGGAAAGTCTTGCGAAAACCTACGGCAAGTTCTGGTGCACTTGGCAAGTCGACCGAGGTTATTATTAACAACAAGAATTATTCAATACTACATAATTATAGATTAATTAGAAATTATTAATTAACAGAACAGTGAATAAATCTGATTGGTATAAATTTAATTTCGATCAGGTGATAGGCTGCCATTGGGAGCACCGGCTTTGATGATGTCACCACAGGGAGTGGCGTTAGGAAAAGTGAAGGAGGAACTGGTAGAGAAGAGAGATCAGAAATACAACATATCAAGAGAAGCTTTGGAGGAGAAGAGAGTGGAAATAGCAGAACCGGAGTGGATTAATCCGCAGGCTGATTACTGGAAGCAGAATGGGAAAGGCTTTGCCATTGACATTTCGACCGGCTGAAATGAAACTAAGGGCACCCTTCCCATGATCACCACCCT